GCCTTTGCTGATTAAGCTCAATATTTTTCGTGTATTCTGCTTTGTTAATCACCAGCACTTTAATCAGCCCTATGGTGTCAATGGATCATTTGCAGATCTGGATCTGACTGCAATGCACAAAGACAACAACTTCTGTACCAGCTCTTGCAAAATGTAAACAGGAATATAATCTGCAGGAGGATTTCCTTTAGGGAGTCCACCGCAAACTCCAAGACAAACTTTTCAATTAGTTAAAAAAAAAAGTGGTCAGTGCTGATTTAGTTCGAGGTAGCTTCATATTGCTGAAAAATGCTGCAAAAGTCTGGTAAATAGTAGAAAACTGAGCTTCAATTATTTCACTAATTACATAGAAATGCCATCTGCAAGTTTAATTGCTTGAAATGCCAAAATTAGTTTTCTTTGTTTCGGGACTTCAGAGTAAATATTTCTCTTCTGGAATCTGAAACTCGTAGTGCTAAAGAGGACAGGGTGGCCAACTTACTTCCTACACTTACAGTATAAATGCAATAGCTACGCTCCTGAACAGGAATATAATAATAGAAATGAGTTATTTCTGATACTGCTCGATCATCGCTTCCTGCCTTGTAGATTAGTAACTGTCACATGTTATCCGCTGTCACACCAACCTTCTATCAGTGGAGATTTGGACAGATCTCGTCTGTCCTCCGGAAAAGACTCCACCAGTCTCCTAAACAGCCGCCCGAGATCAGAGTAACTGCGATGCAAGTATAAAATGTTCCTGTCAGACCACTCGGTCCTGATCTCGAAAAACTCCTCTTCCTCTCCGCTCTGACTGATAATAAGTCTCCGGATCCCGTTAACCCAGCAGTCCCGGACGAACATGTTGACCAGGGACGTCCCTTCAAACACAGCCGATGCCATTCCTCCAAGCCGTCAGTCCAGCATGCTGCGGCGGGCCCGGTGAACAGCAGAATGAGGTGTTCGCGATGACAATGTCAAATACATAAACAAATAAAAGAAGGCAACTTTGGTAACTTTTCGACCAGCCTCTGTGTCTGAGCGGCAGCAGAGTGTGAGCGAGAGGAGGATGATGGCTCAGCCCATCACAGGCGTAATCTCAAACGTGGCATGACTTAGAAAAAAAAAAAAAAAAATAGACTTTAGAGCCAGAGATAACGCCCCTGAAAAACTGATTTGGTAATATTGATCCAAGTGCGGGTTTTTTCGTCAATTATTGACCAAAAAAAGAGAGAAAGAAAAGATCCAACACTAAACCCACACCTCTCAGAATAAGACACTGCTCCCTCCCTCTTTGCGCTTCCAGAGCATTTAACCTCACACTTGGATCAGCAGTTGCTTTTCTTTCAGCGCAGTTTCCTCCCCTCTCCCTCCTTTCTTTCTTCCTTCCTTCCTCCTTGACAACAGGCTATTATTATGCAGGGAATGCAAAGGGCTGTGAGGACAAAACTGTCCATCTCCTTGTGTATAATCGGGATCGACAGGTTCAATCATTCATTTTCTTTTGCACACTGTCAACTAGTTATTGGTGACCCTGCATGTGAGGTCGCTGCTGTGTATTTCCATAAAAATCAGCACGCCTAATCTTGAAATGAGATGTTTGGAATGAACCACAGGGAGAAAAATGCCCAGAAAGGAGTCCAAAAACAACTTTTGAATGGACTAAAGGTCCTAGTTCTTGGCAGTGAGAAACTTTGTGTGTTTTCTTGCAGTTGTTTGTGTGTCTTTGTGGTCTTTGCATCTCCATGAGGTCCTGTTATGGCTTTGGGGAACTGGTTTGTATTTCTGTGGTCATTTTGCATCTGTCTGCAAAAAGTTTGTGTCTCTTTTCATTTTACGCTCCTCTCTGCAGTCATTTGATTACATTACACAGAGAACAAGCCCTTACTGTCTGAATCTAGTGAAGCAGGCAGAAACACGGGAGGGCAATGAAATTGTGCTTCTCCAAGATTCTTCATTTCAAACTATTTTATAACTCCCGTCTTCACAAAGTACTGGTATTTTTTGCCAATATGTAACCACAGCAAAATGATGCGCTGCTCCATGATGTTGATCTTGGGAGAGAATAACCTAAAGAGCTGATTTTCTCTGCATTGCTCACTGATGTTTAGCTGAGTGGCGAGACTGGTTAAAAGAGGCTTTGCAGGAAGTCAAAAAGTGGCGAATCAGCTGTACTAAAAGACAGTGGGGGAAAGGACTGTCTGCAAACACTTCTGGTAAGCAATTCATAAAAATTCCACGCAGGAAATAGCATGTTAATAGCTGGTAAAAGCAAGCTGTAAAACACCCCTTACAGTACAGGAACACAATTGCACCTGCACACGTAACAGGAATCATTACAGAAAAAATGAGAATTGTTCTGTTGAGATTGGTGAAAGAAATTCTGAGATGTGTAATGTGCACATCACGTTTTATGAGACAGAGCAGGTGGTTGGTGCAGAGTCCGCCTTTGTGCCCCGTTTGTTGCTCACAATTGTACCTTTGTGAGTGACTTAGGATCATAATGGCAAACACGAGCACTCCCAACAAGGAAATCGAGCCAGTCGTGAAAGTATAAAGTTTCAATTTGCCACATTGAAGCTGTCCGAAGAGGATCCCTTCATATTTAACAGTTTAATATCAAGCTGTTTCATAGTTCCTCGCTGCCAGTGAGCACTCTTCATTATCATACTGTCTGCACAGAAAGGCTGCTATGGAAAAAGACTCGAGGGATTCCCACTTCACTGGAGGTCCAACATTGTCAACCACAGATAGAATTTCATTTTGCACTTCCCATGAAACATTTTTCCCCCTCTAATTTACAGTTTTATTATCTTGAAGCCTACTTACTGAAAGTGATTTCCACAAATACGAATAGCCGTCTCTTTGAAAGTAAGTAGCAGAGTTACAGTCCCTGGTCATAAAGACGCTGCAATCTCCTTATAATGTATAATACTGGGTAGCCAACAAGTGTCCTATAGAGGTGGCCAATTATTGATTTGTAAGAATATTGTTTAAAATAATATAAAGACTGAAACTAACCTGGTTTAAACCCCATTTCAGTTTTCCACTCTATGATTCAGATGCTTTTTGGGGTACTTGGATCCTCATAGTACTTTGTTTTGTTTGTACAACTGCACATCCCTCCATACATCTGGTATGGAAACATATTACATGTCCAAAAGAAAGCATTAGAAATGTTACGGAGCATCGCACGAGGCATACAAAATTAGATGATCGCTTGCGTCGCTGGTTGTTTACGCCAAGAACTGGGATAAAACACTGTTCTCTCAGATTGCTAGTCACACAGTACCAACCATTAACCTGCATCATAGCTGTAGCCGAAATTACAGAGTGGAAAGAAAATGACTGTCATTTAATATCATAGTCGCTCTGACAAGCACTGGATGTTGAATTGTCACGTGGAGGCGTGCCATGTTGTTTCATCTATAAGTGTTCGCAAAGGCATCCTGAAATGTAACAGTCTCAGTTAGCCATCTCTTTAGCTTTTTAGAGGCCAGACATTAATATGAAGGTTATGTTGCACACCTCTAATGTCTGATTGTGTTTAAATAACCAGACAGACGTGTCCAAATTCACGCTCACACACACCAAATAGACATGAAATAGAGGGAAATTTACAAAAAAAAAAAAAAAAGTGCCAGTGTAAAAACACTGATACCAGGCTGTCATGTAGGGAGAAAAACACCTGCTCTTGGCCTCCTTTACTCGGTGCTCATAGGACAGACCCATCAGCAGAACCCAGTCTTTATTATGAGGAGAGTTTGTTTTGCATGACTACAGCACTATTGTGTTGCAGAAATCTATCCACAGACGGGGTTACCTTGTGTCAGAATGACACATGCAAAACACACAGGAATCAATAAGAGCCAAGTTGTCATTGCTGATAACCAGTGGACAGCAGAGGCGAAAGGTGAGAGGAACATTTCACCTATTAGCCTGGGTGGTATTTCAAGTAGATACATTCTGTCTCCTTTGTATTAGTTGGTTTAGTGATATTAACTTTTTTGCCATTTTTAAAAACATTTCATATTTGTGTCCATCATTTTTTGCTTTGATTACTTCTATACAAAACCAAAAGTGAGTTGCAGTAAAACAAGAGTCTGCAGACAAGCCATCAGTTCTTTCACATCCAAATGCTACTATAGGCAAAAACACCTATATGCTAAGATGCAAGTTAGGATGCTCATCACAGTTTAGCATTTTAACTTCATTTGGGATGAATGTTGAGCACCTAAACCAGGTTCAACTGGGCTGTTTTGCCTTTTACTATTGCAAATTAGCTAAAAATATATTCTTAGCAAATAGCCCAACCTATTAAGATTGGAAATGACTAAAAACAAAATGTTTCAAAAGTTAAAAATAAATCAGAGAACATGTCAGACTTTTAATTTGTTAGAAAACAACTCGCTGTGCTGCCATTCTGTCAAGTTTCCTACTGAAAAAGAGTTTAGGGGTTTCTTTTCTCAGCTATAAGCCAAGTGTGGAGATGCTACGAGCTACATATTTCATTTTAAGCACGAATGATTATATTACTTGAATAAACCACCTCGGTATAATCAGAAAGCCCCTTCTCCCCTTGTGTAATAATGGGATACGTCTGTTTTGAGCAGGGCTTCAATCTGTGGTTTGGCCACATTTATAGAGTCAGCACATTCTACCCCAATACCTCGCTCCAATATACGAAATTCCTCTGAAAGCATAAACTTTAAAAGGAAAAATAGATTTGCCTACTCACTCTTACAGACCGTTTAAGCCACGTTCTAGCACATTTGTCTCCCATTACAGTCATGAGAATGCCAAAGCTCTGTGAGGGAAGCCGCAGGAGGGATTGATCGGCTTTGGTTTATCTGATGCATGGGTCCCCAACTGCAGGCCTCAAGGGCTGGTGTCCTGCAGTTTTTAGATGTGTCCCTGATCCAACACAGCTGATTCAAATGGCTAAATGACCTCCTCAACATGTCCTGAAGTTCTCCAGAAGCCTGGTAATGAACTAATCATTTGATTCAGGTGTGTAGACCCAGGGTGAGATCTAAAACCTGCAGGACACCGGCCCTCGAGGCCTGGAGTTGGGGACCCCTGGTCTGATGCATGAATGACATATCATCGGTATGTTTGTGTTTCAGTGTCCTCACAGGACAAAAAGGTTTGAACAAAGCTGTTTTTTTTCCTTTCTTGAAATCATTTAGACAAGAATATTGAGATGAAATCGCTCCATTAAATATAATCACAGTGTAATTATAGCTGGAGCCAGGAAACAGTGATAGGGAATCAACTAGTCTGTCCACACTATGTTAATTCTGGTTAAAGCCTGGCTTTCTGTTTCTCTTTGCTTCCAGTCTGATCTAGGGAGACAGTAGCAATGATTATACAAGGTAATCTCAGTGTTTTTAACAGTTTAAAACTACACGGTAAAAACAAAGAGCATCATTTGTCAGCTCTAAGATTTTGCAAACGAGGGCATAAAAAAACTGTCAAGGCTTTGAAATTGGGTAACTTCAACCTGAGGTGAACAAAGACGTTATTTTTCACGCTCTGCTTCATTTGGCTTGGTTTTTGTTTAATAAATAATGACATGGTGTAATCGATTGATCTGAGGGTGTACTTTAGTTTTACCATGTCTGTGTTGTATCTAATGCGTGTACGCGCCCTTAATGAAAAGGAGCTTGTGATTGCAACCTTTTTAAATGATGATCACACCCAATAAATACAAGTTTAGGTTCAAAATAATTCACATGAATTAGGCAGTATTATAAGATACAGTACACTAGTTCCACTTTGTAACCTGGGTGGTTTTACACTGTTTATTTTGTGACGCAGCTGTTGGACCTACAGCACTGCTTAAATATCGCCATTACAGGCTTTGACTGTCACCCATATGCAATTTTACACCTATGCTTAACTAAGCACTTGAGAGGAGTAAAATTAAGGGTTTCTGCAACTCCTGTTTTCTAATTTGTTAGCTCTTCACAGACATTCTCCTCTCTGCCACACCCTGCACCCACAATGATGGTCTTAACGTCCACAATTAACTTCAAGTCACCGCCCAGTCTGGCTGAAGGTACAAGACTTTCTTGATTTTAATTTAAATTAGTATAAACCTAAAAATGAAACCAATGACGAATAACACTGTTCCTTCTGTTTCAATCCAGTAGGCTCCTGGTATTCATGTGGATGTCTTTTTGACACATGCCACCCACCTAAACACTGCAAAGTAAGCACCCCACACCATGGAAATGGCACTCCACCCAAAACGGCACAAAAAATCTGATTCCAAGATTTCCAGATCCCAGTACTGATCAGGCATTTGCAGTGCACAGTGGAACACACCTAATGTCCATTGCCCCAACTGGTCTGAGCTGTTTTTGATTTCAGAAGGGGGTTTTCTGGTTGTTCTCATCCTTTAAAGCAAACATCAACTGAATATGCTTAGCTCATACTCCCAAACCCACTTCTTTGCCCTTGTAAATTGCCTGTCAGCCCTTATTCTCTCAGAAAAGTAAACAAAAGAGGCTCGTAAAGCAAAACTGTTAAGAAGACGAGAAAGAAAAAATATGGATACATCTGTCAGGCAACAAATGACATCTGCTTGATAGGAGCAGGCGTTCTTCTTTTATTTAGAAGAGCTGCCTAAGCTTCACATTGAGGAAGTCATTCTGAGCTATAACTCTATCTTTGTCTGCAGCAGCAGCAGACAAAACCCAGTGAAGAGTGCAAAGGCTAGGGTGACAGCAGGTTAGCAAACTGCCTGAGTGTCTTTAACAGGCTCTATAATGGACTGCGGTTGTCTTCAGCGAGCATCTGTTGGACCCCATGTTTTATGGCTCCGTCCTTATTGTGTCTCCAGTAAAGCCCAACGAGCAGAGAGCTGAACAGTCAAGGTAGACTTAATGTCTGCTTGGGGTTTTTTTCTCAGGGAAATACGAGTTGCAGTCATGAATCAGATCTACCGTGTCAGTGTGCCTTTATTTGTGAAATGTCCATTCATCAGTAATGTGGCTGCAGATCTTAAAGCACAGTGATTGTATAACTGTGCAAAGGTGCAGTTTTTACCCATGCTAACAATTCAATTCAATTTTATTTATACAGCGTGAAATCACAACAACTATTGCCTCATGGCGCTTTATATTGTAAGGTAAACCCTACAATAATACATACAGAGAAAAACCCAACAATCATATGACCCCCTATGAGCAAGCACTTTGGCAACAGTGGGAAGGAAAAACTCCCTTTTAACAGGAAGAAACCTCTGGCAGAACCAGGCTCAGGGAGGGGCGGGGCCATCTGCTGTGAGCGGCTGAAGTGAGAGAAGGAAGACAGGATAAAGACAGGCTGTGGAAGAGAGTCAGAGAATAATACAGGTAACAACATGTCCATGTATCAGTATGTGGTTGATCAGCCCATATGTGCATTATGACCTTTTAAACAAGTATTCTCACAAGATGAAACACATTTTTCATCAGCAGCTTGTTTTGCATATGTTGTTCTCTGTAATCACAATGATGCTGATCAAATAGCATCAAAATGCTAATCAAAAGCATCCCTAGAAAAATGAAGACTGGAGCTTTAAAAGACATAATCACTAAATATGAAGGAAAACAAATTTGGTATAAATGAACTGGTTCAACTTAGGTTCTTAGGATTTTGACATATACTGCAGCTAGCCACTGGGGAACATTCACAATATCTTGGCTTTGCCTCTGGGTAGCTGGCATGTTCACAGCCCTATCCAATCTGGCTCTAACTCTGTGACAAATGTTCTGATTAAGGGTCTCATCATTTATGGGTATGGATCGAAATATAGCAGCAATCACCAGGACGCTTCGGACTTTCTCGACTTGAAACAGGATCTTGAGATCAGCACCTTCTCTCAAAGTATGTAATCATTACTTATGCTTCTAGCATTACAGCTTACTGCTGCTATTATTCGACACTTGTGCCAAACAGTGAAACGGTACATTATATGTTCTATATGCTCTCATTAAAGTCAGATTTATTCTAGATTTACAGTTGTACAGATGTAAAATTTAAGCAGATTTTTAACCTAAAATAAGGAAATAGGAAATGTTAAAATAAAGTTTCCTGCATCTGAACAAGGCCTGACAACATAGTTTTATGGACACTCTGGTATCTTAAAACTAAATGTTCTTAAGCTGCTTTGTTAAGTCAAATGAATACAGTAAAAAAAGATAAATGATATTGATGAAACGCAGGTGTCAGAAATTATTTTAGGCAAGAACTTCAAGCTTTACACAATATAAGTAGTTACACACCTCATAAATCATACAGTGTAAGACAGACTGGTCTTTAGATTGCACGGCAGAATGGAGTATACAACATTTGCCTCGTACTGTATACTGCCATGACTTACTGGGCACACTGGGATGGGGCTGTGAACTAATGGAATATCTAATGTCTCTGTGAAAGAGACTTTAATCAGTTGTGAGACCTCCAGCTTGCAACTTTACCATATAAATCTGAGATAGGCTGCACGGCAGAAGGCCCAGGCTGTGAGTTACAGGCTCTGTGTGTTTATACTCTGTACATACAGTGTGGATTTACGTGAGAGGGGTTCCAGTAAAACTCAAGTCGCGTTGGGTATTTTTCGGTATATGCTTGTTGTACTTGTAAACAAAATCTCAGAGTACTCAAACATACACAAATCAAGATGTCATCAAACACATGATGATAATAGTACCATCTGCAGTATCATCATTTGCCAGAAAATCTCATCCCATCTGCCAGGATGTCAGCATTAATGCCGTTATGTCTTCATGGTTCCATTACTTCGTCACTGTTGTGGAGCAGCCACAGGTGTCTCACAATACCACAATTTACTGCTTGATATAAAACTGTCACAAGTGGATAATGCCCAGCCCTTGAATGCGCTTGCATCCGTGAAAGTCATGCGGTTTCACAGAGCTGTGCGCCGAACAGCTCGCAACTTTTTGTGTTGCGAACATGATGTCTCACGTCTGACCTTATTTTGCATTTTGTATGAGGCAACACGATAAAGCAGATGTGGTGTTTGGTGTTTTTTTTTAACTCTGTCTTTCAGAGTCACATGCTGTTTTTCCCCTTTTCAGAAGGATTACCACTTTCTGATACTGGACTTGTTCTTGTTTTTCCAGGTCTGATGACTACCATAAGAAAAAGGCTATTTATAGAAGTGTGTAGAAGTGTTGAACCGCTGAACATTTCTGTATTGTTTGCTAGGATGTATGGAAATATCTTTGCTAAGTTGTCTGTCATGTGTAGGCACTATACTGGTTCATCCCTTGTGCTATGTGTCTTTTTATGTTTGGATGATTCGTAGGTCAGTGTTAAGTGGCTTAACAAGCTCACACAAAAAGCACATTCCTCTAAGGTACAAGAACCTGACCAATGACCTGAGGATACTGTAAATAAAAGGCAATGAAGTTCAGGCAAAGAACTCAAGTATCACACAGTGACACGCTTTTACTTGTTCTATTTTTACCACAATAATACTAAGTAACTTCCGCAAAATCATTGCTGTTAAAATGTTGCACTGGAGATAAAACTGTAATCATTCATGTGTCATTCTGTTGAATATTGGCGCACACTGAGGTGCGCAATCATGATGCGCACGAGGGGTTTTCAGCAACCACATGAACCACTACAGATGATCCACCTGTAATTAACCTCGTGAGCCATCGTGTGGTAAAAGCAGACCGAACAGGCTCCAACAGCATGTCCTTTGCACGACTATGTTTTCAGTCTTTCTATAGCCAATGTGGTCATTTAAAATCCTGTATCCAAGTCTTCAGGTCGCCCATCTATTTATACAGAAAAAATACGAAAATTCAAATAAGATCAAGGACATCGTGGGGTATTTGTTATACATTTGTCTTTATTATCCTTTATTTGTCCAGGTGAGATTTAAATCTAATTTCCAAGAAAGGCCTGGCCAATAGGGCAGCAAAAGCTAATACGACACATAATAATATAACAAGTAAAAAACAAATACTATATTGCATACAGACAAGTGAGCACAAACGTGTGAATAATACAAAATAGCAGATCATTAAAAGCCACATTAAAAACAGTCACACTGGCTAAAAGAGCTATTCTCTCGCTTTAAATATACATACAGGACAACACATACAGTACACAAACAGTAAGTATAAATTTAGAGTAACGCACCTTAAAATTTCTGGTTAATCACTTAATATCTTGAATTGCGTATCTCAGAACACTATCTTACTCTGCAATTTTTCCATTTGTACGTTAGCATTTCGACATTTTAAGATAATAACACGAAATTTCAACATTTGCAACTTAAAAACTTTGGTTAATAATTTTACATTTCAAATTGCTTATTACAATTTTTTCACTCAGAAATAATTTGAAATTTCGAGATACTTAGTAGGTGAAAAATTTGACATAATTACCAAAAATTTATAAATATTTTAATTTGGCAGTTGTTCAGGCAGGGGGTGTCTGTGTGTAATGTAAGTGGCTAATCTCCAAAAGTTGATTCTGTTCATCTGGACGTAGCGTTTTGTGGGAGAAACGTTTCGTCACTCATCCAAGTGACTTCTTCGAAGAAGTCACTTACTTAGGTAAACGTTACTTACCTGGATGATTGAGCATGCATCAAGACGTAAGTGGCTAATATGAAAATTTCAAGTTACACAAGCACACACTCTAGTGGACAAAGAACAGACTTCAGTGCACAAATTCTGACTGCGATGCGCCGCCAAAACACCAGAGGAACGTGTCAGTATTTTGATATCATTGTACCCATGTGGAGAAAGTAGCCGAAGAAGAAAAAGCCCCCTCAGCTGAGGAAAATGGCCGACGTTGAGATGGAGATCTCGTCCAGGAGAATGAATAATGGCAACGAGCACGTGTAAGTTATTAAATTACAGATACTTAAAGTTTGTGGCAGTAAGTTATAGGCCTCTTTCAGGTCGAATATGAAGGGAAGTGTTATCATTGCCGGGGCTAACGGAGTAGCAAGTTCACGTTGTTGCCGGGGCATGCTCACGATAGGCTAACGTTCTTGGCTAGCTAGCTAATGTTCTTCAGCGCGGCTAGCACTAAGTTTCGGTGATAGCATGTAGAAGTGTACCTCATCCGCGTTTGTGTGTATTTGCCTCAATAAAGTGTACCTGCTAAGCCACACGCAGTGTAAGGTTTGTACTCGCTCCCAAGCAGCTATCATGTAATGTAAGTTAGCATAGCAAAAATTATTCAGTGGATGTAGCTGCTT